GGACACATTTAAGATTTCCAGTGCTCGTCAAGTAGGTGAGGGGCAGAGCAGGAATGAGATCATTTCTCTAGTGCCCCTGCAGATCTGCCTTTGTGGAGAAGAGGTGGCAAAACCCTCTACATTCAAGAATTAGCAGGGAAACCAAATTATAGCTTTATCTTTAACAAATTAAAAATAACTGGCAGCCAAAATGATAGCAAAGGCTGAGCAGCGGGGAGGGCGGCAGAGATAAAACAGTCACCAGTAACCTTTCCCCACCCAACGAGTTGAACCCAGCAAAGTTGGATCAGCAAGATGGCGCTTCTGCTCCAGGTGTAGACACACTACTGTGAGCCTCATTCCAGCCTCAGAAAACACAGTAACTAAAAAGTGGAAGGTTAATGAGAAAGGTACTCTTTTTCCTAAATAATATATTCTACCCCGTGTAATGTGTAAGGTACAAGAGATGAAATAGTGACATTATGGATTCTACTTACACATTGTTTCTTCAATGTGCATAGCTATTTTTACAAAGTGTCTTCATTGTAGAGCCACCCCAAGCTCAGGAAGCCATGCCTCCCGCCAGACCCCAGCACAGGCTTTTGTCAGCCCTGTAATCATTACCACTCCATGTGTGCCAGGCACCGTGTCTGGGTGGGACGCGCCATACCAGCAAGACAGGGATTGGTGCCAATAGAGTGTGGTGAGCACAGCGACAAGGATTCAGATCCACCCGGGTGGCTCATTCTTCCACAGGTCTTGGCCGTCCTAAGGAAAATCACAGTTTCCAAAGGGCTGTGTCTTACACATCCAAACCTACCAAGGTGATAACGAATGTCACAAGAGAAAGGAAATGGTTTCTAAGCCTTGTATATTGTTTTTAAATGACTCATCATGGAGTTGAGAATTGAATGCCTGTCAGTGTGGAATGTCAGAGAGAAATTAACTTTCTATTTGGGATAGTGAAAATGTTGTGGGAAAAGTAGGGGCGGTGGTTGTATAACAGGGTGAAAGGAATTAACAGCACTGGACTACACAGTTAAACATGGGTGAAATGGTAAGTGCGTGGGCGGGTGTGTGGGTGGGTGTGTCTTACCATGATAAGTTTAAATGGTGGAGGATGGAAGCAGAGTACTTTTCTAGAAGAGATATTTTAATACCCTTATTTAGCATGTTGCTTAGACATCTTTAAAAAAGTTCTCTAGGTTTTTTTTTATGGGTCTAAGAAATTCAAACTTTGGATCTACTTTACCTACACACCAGAGGAGAAGGTAACCAATGTCAGACTGGTTATCTTGTTCAATCCATAATTCATCTCAGAAAGGCAAAATTTGATCCATAGTCCTTCTCCTTCTTTTTCTGTCACCTGGATTTCTTTGTGTATGACTCACCCCCCAAAAATCCACTTTGAATAGAACTGAGGACAATAAGCAATGGTCCAGTACCGTATTTCTGATATATTCTTCTGCAATTGTTTTTGTGCTGTTGTTCAAGACTTCATCTAAATTACACAGCAGGTACAAAGGTCAGTTGTTTGGTCCACTGTTGCTTTCATTATCTGGTGAAATGAGTGCTGTCCTCCAGATTCCACAGCAGAATGTGTAAAATCATGAGGAGGCCCTGTGGTTCAGTGCTTCCGGGCAGCTCTCACCAGGCCCTGCTGCTTTCTCTGCGGACGACTGGGCTTTGAAGGGCATCAGATCATTCAAGCCACCGAGAGTGACCCTCAGGATATGAATAGGAATAGTTAAAAAATAAATTGCTCTTTAAAACCATTCGGCCTCCCTCTAGACATGCTTGATTTCCCTGGTTAACTGTGTGTTTTGAATACCCTCCCTCCTTTAAGTGCATCACCAAGGTCTTCACGAAGTGTCTGTGCGCACCTTTCCACATTGAAAGGCAGGGGGAAAATGTGCACATTTAGGCTTGTTTTTATTTATTCTTTCAGGGTTTTACAAGGAAAGTAAGAAGTATTCATCCCAATGATCAAGATTTATATTTATACGCAACTGCCTTGTTGATCCAACAGTTCTGATTCAAGCATGGATTTCACACTGCTCCCAGTGTTGAATCCACTGATCAGATCCAAGACTTACTCTACGCAGCACTGCAGATGTCAGCAGCCAGCTTGCTTCTCTTTTCTGCTGCCTTTGCTGCTTCCTTCCCCTCTCCAGCTTAGTGTGTTTCCAGGTCGTACTAGTGTGGCAGCCTAGGACACATGTTAAGCTCAGTGCCCTCACGCCACAGACGCCTGAAGCCAGTAGCACCCAGAACTCCTGGATTGCTGCCTCATGCTCGTTCCTGTCATCTTCCTCTTCTGGAACAGGCCACTCCCTCCAACAGCACCCCCTGCGCTAGAGTCTGCAGTGCGGAAGTTTTGAAAAGAAGCACATGAAAAACATTACTTTGGAGGCCCTGTTGGAGAGTTAGCTTAATGAGCGTCAGGAGCCGTTAGTCACTAAACACGTTAGTCCTTCCTAGGGGACTGTTGGTTTCAGCCAGAGACCTCTGGCATCTATTACCTGAAGCCCTCCCTGAAGAAATAAGAATACAAGCGTTTTAGTTTTATATATATATGAGAAAAATACTTTGTATAAAGTCAGTGGATTTTTGGCATCTGCTCTGTTTTCAATATTATACCATACGCAAAATGCCAGAGAAGAAGTAAAACAAATCAGAAGCCTATGCATACTACAAAACCATGTGCAATTCACCATAGGAAACAATTAGAAGTCTCACCTCATATGCAAGAATTTCAGTCTTTGCTCTAGTTCTTCAATTCATGAAACATTCCAAACTTGTGTTCGTTCTAGAAAACCTTACATTTATATCAAGCCACACAAATTTCCAATTCTCTTATACAACACAAGTGGCATGTATGTTATTTATTTTTACCTCCACGTGGTTCAAAACTGTACAAGTAGTTAGAAGTATGGAAGGTTAATGTACGCAGTTACGCTCAGTAGCAGGCAGCATCATTTTGGGGATGTACTGAAGAAGAACTGTACCAAAGGAGCAGTTAGCATCAGGGCTTCCTCACCTCTGGTCAGCCTTTGTTCTGGGCACTGAGCTGCGTTTGGCCCACTCTGCATAACAGGAGGCATCACTGTCCCTAATTCACACATGAAAATCTCAGTTGTGCCACTTGCCAAACAGCTAGGAAATTGTAGAGATGAAGTTAGACTAAGCTCCATCAATGGAAGGCCTTGTTCTCAACTGCCATAGTATCTGTCTCAGTGACCAGGGACATTAGCTTTGACTTTTACTAAACTCGCAGCCTCGTGGATCTAAGAGCTCTCGTAGCTATGAGCTACATCTAAACTCAGCCTCCAGGTGTTCTACCTAGATGCTAGGAAATGTCCCCTAGGCTGACCAGGAATTACTGAGCAAACTGACACCATAGCACCTTTTCTTTCTCCTACAAAGAAGACTAGAGACGCTTAAATAGAACCTGGGTGCAGTCACTGGGGATATAGTAGGGGAAAAGTAGCATGTAGCATGGAGGTGGAGACAGGTTTCTCTTTCCTCACTTCATATCCTTGTATCCTGAATAAGAAGATAAAGAATAGTACATTAATGAAATGTTTGGTGAACTGAGTTTGTGATTCATTTTATCTACATACAAAGTGAAGTCATTATTTATGGAAAGTGGGGACATTCATGTCTTTGTTAAACTTTTTATTTTCTGAGGTTTGGGGCTCTCTACAAATGAAACTGTAAATATGTTCACTTGTAAATATTAATTCAGATTGCTATGTGATAAAAATAGAAATGCTATGTTTGGTTTTTTGCGGGGGAGCATGGTTTATTTGAAATTCAGAATCATATGTATGTTTGGCATTAAGTCAGTTTTGAGAGCCATCTCATGGTGAATGGCTACTCTTCCCAGGGGTTGTAGATCTCAAATACTTCATGGCCAAGAACTAGTGACACCAGCAAGAGGGCTATCTGGGGACATGTGTTGGGGAGTGATTGCATTGCTTCTCATTTTCAAAGCTTGCATGACCTCCGTAGACCTTGTCAAGGTCAAAAGCACAAAGTGCTAAGCAGGGAATCCCCAGAGAAAGCCAAGATCTGAGAATAACAGAACAGCCACACTGCTGGCTTGGCAGACCTGAAATATTGGGGTGTTTTTTGGAAGGCAGTGAAGGCCTGGCAGCAGGGAAGGCAGAAAACCAAGGGCAAGGAAAGGAAAGGTGGAAGTGATAAAGAGAATTGTACAATAAGACATATCAGACAGCAGAAACAGAGGGGTAGGAGGACATTTAAAGAAAGTAAGGAAGCAGGTAATTAGCTGACTGATCAGGAAATAAGTATAACTGTGGGTATACTTCTAACATTCAAATTTGGAAGAATATGTTTCAAAATATTCTGGAATTTGTCAGTAGCATTCATTTAAAATACCTTTCTGATGTTTACCCTTTGTGGGAAAATGAAAAGCACACATGTTGCTCGAAAGCTCAGACTAGCGGGCCAAGGGTGATGTGTATTTGCATAGATGCCACAAACACAAGGACATTCTGAATTCTTTGGCTGGAACAATATAATGAAAGAGACTCCTGGTGTTTTATGCTTGTTCTATAAATGTAATACAAACTTATTGTATTAAAAAAACCGAGCTGGGCTTACTTTGAAAGTTTTGGGCTTATATTCTGTCCAATATCCATCCTCATCCTTATTTTTGATATTTAAATGATGAAAAATGGAACCAGAAAAATCAATGAAATGTATTATGAAATCATTGAACTTCAGATGGCTATTGGTCTTGAATACAGTATTTCTGGATGAGCATGAAGCAAATCCTTCCTTTGCTTAGTGTCTGAGCAGTCATGACTGCCTGAGAGACACCTTTTAGGTGCCAGAGGCACTATTCTGTCTGATCCAGAAGAGATTGCAGAAGAGATAATCACCCAAGCTGTTCATTTTGTCAAATATACTGTGTATTTGCATATTTCATTGTACCCAAAATATCTGAAAGCACATGAATGGTTGTTTTCTTTTTTCTTTCTTTTCAATTGCAGTAGAAAATGGCCCCCGTCTGGTCGTACAAGCGGAACAAGCCAAGGTCTTCTCCCACAGAGGCGGCAACGTCACACTGCCATGTAAATTTTATCGAAACCCCTCAACTTTTGGCTCAGGACTCCACAAGATCCGAATTAAGTGGACCAAGCTAACTTCAGATTACCTCAAGGAAGTGGATGTTTTTGTGTCCATGGGCTACCATAAGAAAACCTATGGAGGCTACCAGGGGAGAGTGTTCCTGAAGGGAGACAGTGACAATGACGCCTCTCTAGTCATCACGAACCTCGCCCTGGAGGATTATGGAAGGTACAAGTGTGAGGTGATCGAAGGCTTAGAAGATGACACTGCCGTGGTCACCTTAGACTTGCAAGGTGGGTCTCTATCCAGCAGCTTAAACTGGAAAATGGTAATTCATCATGGCTCCTTTTGTTTCATGAAAGGTAATGGGTAGTGGTTACCATAGTAATTAATAGTGTGAGAAACCAAAACCCTATGCCTAGGATATTTTTCTATTATTTTGTACTATGTAGTCTGCCTGTGATTTCAGCTTTCATATTTGAAGTGTACACACAGTGCTTATGTGCACAACTGAATATGTTTGCAGCCAGGGGAAACGTGCAGTGAAACTGAATTAATAATTTTTAGAAATTGCCTTATGCTATTTGAAATTTAAATCCTAACGTACACTTATTGAGAAATTCATATTGGATTCTTTTTTATTATGCTTCTAAAATTATCTCAGTTTCAGAATAATGGTAAATTTTGTAAAGAACATCTATAGTGAATTGCATGGCATTGTATTCTATAAAATGACTGCAAAAACTTAACAAAAAACTAACCTCTGAGTTTATTTAAATAAACTCAGTAAGCGAAGAAGTACTTGTTTAATGGCCCAGGGTCCCTTAGGCACTGAATACAAAATGATCAAGGCATTTTGGAGACAAGGGATAGTCTGTGTCTTGAGTATATGTAACGTATTCAGTTGTTTCAAAAGCCAACACGTGTGCAAATCTCTACAAGGAAGTGTCCTTGCCATGTTTGCCTCCCTCCTCTGGGGAAACGTCCCAGTTTCATTCCCTGTGTATCTCAAGCCATCTGACTTTTCATGGATTTCAGGAATATTTTACATTGAATAGTGAAGTTTGGCTGCATGGGCATGAAACCTGACATAAAGCTGTAGGTGTGTATTTACCAGAAGTTCATTTCATCTCCTAGTGCAGATTTGTGGCTTTCAAAAAAAAAAAGCCAGTTCGGTCCACTAGCATAGCACTGGAAAGCCAACCTTCTGAAGCCTGTACATGTCCATCACAGGCATAGAGACTTAGGTGTGTCAAACATCTCGTGAATCGCACCCTGTTATAGATGCCTTCTGGGGGCTTCGCTGGCCTCCCCTGTGGCAATCCGTGACTCCTGATGGCATGCCACGTTGGCCTTTCAGGTCTTATTTACTGGCTCTGATATCTGTGAACTTTAGGATTATTCAGGATGGGAGGAGTAATTGGCTTAGAGAAGACAGGCACCAAGTATTAACAACCGGTTTCCATTATCCAAGGAACAATGATAGGTAATAACTGATCATCATAAAGCGGGTCTTTTGCCTTATATGGTTGACCATAGCTTTCCAACGCTCATGCATATAATCCCCTTACCTCCATTACCTATCCCAGACTATGTGGAAATTGTCCTTAGGTTATTGGCTAAATTCTTCAAATTTTATCCTTATGGATTTTATTTTATTGTATGGTTATCTTTATAATTTTTTGTAATTTCATTTTAAATACAAAATCATTATATAGCACAGAATCTTGGCTAAAGTAAAGCTTTCTAATAATTATCAATTCATTACATTAATACAAAAACAAGCAAAAAAAAATAAGCATTATATAAATATAACATGGATAATGTTACTAGAAATTCAATAAATAGCTTTACAAAATTCATTGCAGCAATCAATATATAAAAAGATATTAAAATTATATTTGTTCTCTCAGTCTTGTATCTATTGGTGAAAATGAGGCCAGATAGATAAAAATATAGTCTTAGAAACAGACAAAAAATTTCAGATATGTTCATAGCACTAGTAGACACAAGAAGAGACACTAAGGAAAGAAAAATTATTTATACTACGTGGTCTTTGCCTTATTACTAGAAATATTTACTTTGTGGGGTTATCTTATGGAGTTATTGATACTTCTATGTATAACAGGATATTAAAATTATTTATATATCTAACAAATTATTATTTATCAACAAATAGAAGGAATTGGGCTGTATAATTATAAATCTTAAAAAGTGTTTCCTCAAAATGTACTTCACTGACCAATCCCTTCACACATTTTATATTACTGTTTTCCATGGGATGTATCATTCTATTTAATCTTCTTTGTAATGACACATACCAGCACTTCATGGAAAAGAGAAGAGCTTTTGATGATCTTTTGACAGAAAAGGCTAAAAGATAAATGAATTACGTATAACCACAGACCCTTGTTGCCTGCCCATAAGTTTAACTTTTCTGATGTTTGCAGTACTGCACCAAAGCCATAACTTGCTCTAAAATTCAGCTGTAGGAATTGCAAGTTTTTCCATAAATCCCAGAAGGATTCCGCAGTTGAGTATTGAAATCTTAACTACCTGAAAGTGAAATAGGCAAATAAATTGCTAATATGCAGTTCCAGAAACAGCCTTGCTTGAGAAACATATGAGTGTTGAACTGCACTTGCTACATGTGTAGAATACACATGGAAGTTTTACAACTTGGGCTACTCAAACACTGAAGCTGAACTTGATTTACCTGGAATATATTCTTTCCAACATCATCAAACATTGGTTAAAATTCGTTAAGTAAACCTTTTCAGTTAGTACAACCAGTGACTTGTCCCATGGTTGAAAAACAGTGACATTTTAACATAAAATTTCACTCTGGCTTTAGGAATTGATTGTATGAAATTTTGTTAAATTGGAAAGAAACTAAAATAAAACACATTACACTGGATTTAAAACTAAACCAATGATATATCAGTAACAGGCAATAGGCAATCAAGGAAAAAGTACTAAAGAAATTATTTTCCTCATGCCCATGAGAGTCTACCACAATACATTACAGTGAATTTAAACCTAAAAGGTTTTCTAGGTCTTTGAAATTATTATAAATTAAAATATATTTTCCAGTGCCTCCATCTTGAGACATTTGGAAAAGGGAAGCCAACCCAAATAGAAGATGTTATAGACATACGTGGTGAATGTTTACATTTTTAAAATGTGCTACAGAAAAGGACACTGCCATTGACCTCCCTCAGAATACTCTTCTTTGTTTGTGCTTTGAACACCCTCATCCCATTCTTCTTGTCACTTTCTGAAGCAGCTCTGGAAGTACTCTTTCATGAGTGTCTCCACAAGGTATGATCAAAAATACAGTGAATCTTACGGCCGAACACCATCCAACAGAAAGGCAGGCTACAAAAAACATGAGGCCTTGTGCTCATCCACCTTATTCACCGGATCTGGCGCATGCACCTTCTGGGTCCTCCCCAAAGTCAAAATGACCATGATAGCGAAATGTTTTTAATTGATTCAGAACTCCCTGGCAGCCAGGAAAGTGCAAATGAAGACACTGATGAAGGAAGACTTCCAGAACTGCTGCAGAAAGTGGCAAGAGCCATGGGATGAATGTGTTCAAAGCTCGAAGCAAGAGAGAGTATTATGAGGGGAATGAATGCCAATGCATCTTTTGCTGTAATTGTTTTAAAATTTAAACATTCACTCTATATTCTAAGTACACCTTATAGTTTCTTCCCCTCCCTAGGTTGAGATTCATGGAGATTTTCTGTCACTCGGCTTTTAGCCAAGAGACCCTCCACTGGATGAGCCCATGTCTTGCCATCACAGGCAGGCATTCCCAGGTGCCAAGGAAAGAGGACCGAGTCCTCAGGAACAAGCACTGTAGCAATTCCTTCCCAGCACCCTCGGAGCTCCTAGCTGGGCCTCCTCAGACCCCTTCCTGGGGAAGTTGCTCCAGGTTCTTCCCCCACTCAGCACAGTGGGGGCCAGCGGCAGCCTGGGAGTCGTCCCTTCTCCTCTGGCCCCACTCCAGCCTACAGATCCCTTGCCAAGAACCTGTGTAGGCAGAATGGGATCAGGAGGCCTTCTTGGAGCTCTGCCTCAGGCGGGTGCCAGCTGGCCTGCACTGAGGACTAACGACCAAGGCTTCCAGGGACCTTTGCCGCATGAAACCTGGTTCAGACTGGAAATTTCTTCTTGCAGAGTCTCCCAGGACAATTTACAAAAGGAAGTGTTTCCTGTGCGCCGCTTACCCTGTGTGCATCTTACCCAGGGTCTGCAGTCTTGGGATGTGTGAGACAAGCCCTTCAGTTACTGGCTCAGTGGGACAAGCATGTGCCTTCCACATGCAAAAACATTAGTTATTTTAAATCATAGTTTAAAAAATACAGGCACTCCAATTAACCTCTTATTAATAATGAGGAAGGTGCGTTGACATATATTTTTATGTCCAGTAGTGGGCTTGAACATCCCTAGCCCCTTTTTTATGTTTTATATTGAGACAGGATCTGGCTAAATCACTAAATTACCTGGAATGGGCCTGAACTTGAGACCCTCCTGCCTCAGCCTCGAAAGAAAGAAACGAGGGACTCGTGATCATTCTGTATGTCCAGTAAATCAAACAAGTTTGCTATCTTAATCTGGTAATCTTCTTCCTTTAAGAAGCTGTGCAGGATGTTGTGAGATAGCCCTACACCTCCCATCGTTATTTGGACAAAAGAAATGTTTTTGAAAACCACTGTGTCTTCCCAGGCAAATTCAAAGGCCATGTCACAAAATCTACACTCCCTAAGGGATTTTGTTCTCTAAAACATTTCATGTCAGCAGTGACCAGTCAGCCAATGCCTTTTCTGAAGCTGCCTTGTACAAGTTCAGGGAAATGTTCTTTTTTCCCTATTGGTAGTGAAAAACATTTTTAAAACGTTAGCTTCCATTTGCAGTATATAAAATGGAAGCTGAAAATAGTAATGGAAATATTTTTAAGCAAAAGCCTTTATTTTAGTTGTATGACTAAAAGGAAGTAAAACACGAAGATGAAGAACTGCAGTAAAAGTTGGAAGCCATGATGCCTTTGATGGGAGTGTAGCTCACTGTACCAAATTATCTTATGAACTAGTTAATGAGGTTTGTGTTAGATATGCAAATTCACTTTAGAGTTCTCCAAATAAGAAGCCTCTCTGTGATAGTAACTTACCTAAGAAGCACATTTAAGTGGATGTATACACGTGTTTCTTTATATACTTCAAGAACTAGATAAAGCTACTAACCCTGTAATGATTTCTAAGGGGAGCACTGACTCCACAGCTCCCTCTCCCCAAACCCTGCAGCCCCCTTTTCTCAGTACTTGCTACTCTCTCCTCCCTGCAAGGAAAGGGCTGTGATTAAGCTGTTCAGGGAGTTTGTAAGCAGGTGCAGAGGGTAAGTTCCCAGCCAGGCTCCTGGGGAACTCTACTGCTGCCTGGCCATTTCCAGAAAGGAGAATTTTAAGCAGTGAGTTACATTTTTAGGAAAAGAGGCAACTCACTGAAGTCGCCAAACCAAAGAGCTGATTGTGAGCAGCTCAGGCTCGGAGGCTCTGCCAAGGGGTCGGGGCCCTGAGAGGCTACCCGGGGGTGGCCGAAGCCCCTTCCCCGGGTTCAGATTGCAGCAGTCAGGTGGGCTGTGGAGGTGGCTCCTGTCCGCTGGCCTCTACTGACCCCTCCCTTGCCCTCTGGACAGGTGTGGTCTTCCCTTACTTCCCGAGACTGGGGCGCTACAACCTGAACTTCCACGAGGCACAGCAAGCCTGCCTGGCCCAGGACGCCGTAATCGCCTCCTTCGACCAGCTCTACGAGGCCTGGCGCGGCGGGCTGGACTGGTGCAACGCGGGCTGGCTGAGCGATGGCTCGGTGCAGTACCCCATCACCAAGCCCCGTGAGCCCTGCGGGGGCCAGAACACCGTGCCTGGCGTCCGCAACTACGGTTTCTGGGACAAGGACAAGAGCAGATACGACGTGTTCTGCTTCACCTCCAACTTCAACGGTGAGACAGACCTGGGCGGGCGCTTCCTACCCAGGCCACTGCATGGTGCATTGCACTTGGCTCTGATTCTTTTCTCCTGAAAGAGGCAGAGCCGGGAAGCATTGCTCTAGTTTGAAAAATTATGAAAAGTTCTTGCATGGCATAGTTTTAGAATCGTCCACACATGTCGAGCAAAAAGTGCCTATTTCCGATACTCAGATCTGAGTGCATCTAAACTTTATTATGAAAGATCTGAAATTGTCACGTGGTATGGGAGCTGCTGGTGGTGGGGTTTTGGTTTTGTTTTCGTTTTGGGTTTTTTGTTGTTTGAGACAGAATCTTGCTAAGTCACTAAATTATTCCAGCTGGGCTTGAACTTGCAATTCTCCTGCCCCCACCTTTCAAAATACTAGGATCACAGGCATGTGCCACTGCACCAGGAGGAACCAGCCACCTTATTTATGGGCCCAGTGCAAAGTGAAAATGCGGCTTAAGAATTTTAAGATGGTAACTGAGCATGAAACCAAGCAGGAGGCCTTTCTAACTATGGGCTGAGGAACTGCGTAGGTCTCACACCCAGGAATCAGGGCCTGCCCCCTTCGTAGCACATTTCAGGAACCAGGTGCCATACTTTTGGGAAAACGGAAAGGAATCAGAGGTCAACAAACCTCCTCTATAAAGAGCCAGGTAGCAAATAGTTCCGGCTTTGTTGCTTCTGTGTATGTCGGAGCACAAGAGCAGTTGTGCCAGTAAAAGCTCATCCTCAGGCTAGATGTGAGGCAGGTTCCATGGTTTGCCGTCCTCTGGAGTAGGGGAGAGAACTCAACCTCTCTGTTCTTTACCCATTCACAACATCTGAGTCCAGAGAGAACCAGAAAGTGTTAATTTATATTTGAATAATATTGCATCCCAATGTGTAATCAGATAAGCTAATCTGGGCATGTTCTACCTGCAGTTAAGACAATCTCCAGTCAGCATGTATCACTGCAGTCAGCTGATGTCGGGTTTCACACAGCCTGTGCGTTTCCCATACATATTATCAGGATCTCTGGGTAATTGATGCTATCCAACAAGTGGTGAAGCCGAACTTGTTTTTCTTGTGAACTCAGACATGGCAAGGTGTCAGGGATCCAAGGACGGGCGCGAGTTCAAAGCAATCCACAAATTCATTTCTTTGGTAGTGAGGAAGATGGCCTGGGTTTACATTCTGAGTCCATGCGGTTTGCAGCAAGGGCCTTCCTGCATTTTATGTACTTTCACACTGCAGTCTGTGGAGGAGGATAATGTCTTATTGATACCTGGAGTGAAAAAGGCTCGAGCGCTTTTGATTTTTGTAAATGGGCTTTCAGGTCAAGAATGCTTTTGGATCCTTTCACATTCAGATTTTGCCTCTCCAGAAACTGGTGCTGGGCTTCAGGCCTGCTCCAGCTAGAATTTCAATAGCCTTTGCTTGGACCATGCAGTTTTATCTCCGCGGGACCACAGAGGGGCTTTCTAAAGTTGCTAACTAGCTAGCAGAAACTGCACCTGTCATTTCCATTCTGCTGCTAACTCTTAATTGAGCACGTGTGCACACATACTAAGGGGCAAGCAAAAGAGAAACCAGAGGGGAAAAACCCAAAACATAACGTGGATGGAGAGCGCCCCGGGCCCTTCGGCCCGGCGCCCCTCCGCGGCTGTGTCCGGACGGCCTGTGCTTCTCTCCCGCTGCAGGCCGGTTCTACTACCTGATCCACCCCACCAAGCTCACCTACCACGAGGCGGCGCAGGCCTGTGCCAACGACGGCGCTCAGATCGCCAAAGTGGGCCAGATCTTCGCCGCCTGGAAGCTGCTGGGCTACGACCGCTGCGACGCGGGCTGGCTGGCGGACGGCAGCGTGCGCTACCCCATCTCCCGGCCGCGGCGGCGCTGCAGCCCCAGCGAGGCGGCCGTGCGCTTCGTGGGCTTCCCGGACAAGAAGCACCAGCTGTTCGGCGTCTACTGCTTCCGGGCCTACGACTGAGGCCCGGCCGCCTCACCGATCGTGTGCCAGGCGTTGTGTTCTGTCTTTCTCCACACGAACTCGTGGAAGTTACCCAAACTGTGACAACCCTTTTTTACTGTAAAGTCCTTTCCTAAAGAGCGATCCATTAGCTTGTTCTTTGTAGAGCTAGCCTTCAGGACCCACCACAAATGAACGCAGTTGTAAGGGAAGCTCTGCGGCGCGAGGCTTCAGAGCCAGGCGGTCCGCACCTCAGTTCCTCTCTCCAGTCCTCACGCTCGGCCGACACCCCGGGAGGGCAGGGGCTGCTCAGAGCAGCAGCTTCCGCAAGCACGGATTTCACACGTTCGTACAATTCTGAGACGCACTCTGGTGAACAAATATAGAGCGACCCATTCGCCACGCGGGCTTCTTTTTGCAAAGAGGTTCTGAGGGGCTGCACTTCCTTCCGGTCTCCAGCACACGGTCTTCTAGGCCTCCAGGCCTCCCTTTCTGTCCAAACAACAACAGTCAATCCAGGCGGGCTCAAATACATAGTAACAAGCACAGGAAGTCCTCCTTAATAATCCCATTTCGATGAGGTTTAAATAAGCCGGTAACACTTAACCCACCAGACCCTCCTACGTTCTTCTGATTAAAATGACACGTCTCTGAGAAGAACTCTTTTATCTTTGAGTAGCATTCCTGTGTTATATTTAAATTCGAAGAGCCCTTTGCTAGGCCACATTTAGCATCCACTCAGGGCAGTTATACAGATAAACTGCTGGACAGAAAAATTGTAAAATTTACCAGCTTGATTTTATGTTAGCCTATGAAGTGTTATTGTCCTATAAAAATAACTTTAAACTATTTAATATGTCTTTTTTATTTACATGACATGGAAAAATTAAATAATAGAATGAATAACCATATACTCGCCTAACCAATGAATAAAGACCCAACCTTCGACAGTCTTAGTCCTATTTTTACATACATTAGGAAGCCCAAATGGTGCCTGTGTTTGGGGACAAAGTCACGATGTGGTCCTAAACCTTCCCAGAACTGGCAAACGTAGTCAGTGTCACCGACCATGCTGGGCATCATCAGGCGTAAATGAAATGCTGAAGCTATCATCAAAGAGATTACACTAAAATCTTCAGGGCTTTAAATGAAATCTAAATCCAGCTTCAGGAAAACAACTCCTCCTTTAACAGCTCCAATCTTAAATAAAGCTCTGTTTTCCTATATTTTTATGACTGTTGAGACCCCACAGGGACCAATATTTGTACTCAAATTACATTTCATGGTTTCCCATTGTTTCGCAACGATTTCTAATAAATGGGATTTATTATAATAACCTAAGGATGACATAGCTGATAGGCTTTCATGAATGTTTTTATGAAGATTTTTCTCCCATGAACATAAGTAAATAAATCTGTTTCTTGAATTGATTGTGGTTGCATTTAAAGCTCTGTAGTAATCTTAATAAATTTATAAATGTAGAGTTATATGTGGAAAGTATAGAGCAATTGGGAGTTCATAAAACCATAACTATATTCATATATTAGCTAGATGAAATATTGTAAATAAAAGTAGACTCATGGATCAAAAGCATATCTGGAAATGTTCAGATGCTTTAATATTAAAAGATGATAATGTATGCATGCACATTTTTATGTTAGACCAGGTATGCAAATTATATGAAACTATAGATCCAAAGAGATTATGAGGCTTAATTCAAATACTGCTGGTTTAAATAGAGCCCACACTTCTAAATTAAAGATACCTGAGTGGTCTAGGATAAGAGAAATGTATTATTTAAAGAGGGGACTGTCTCCAAAATAGCAACCCCAGCACGTCAAATTAAAGAGGGGGTTAGCTCATTGGGGGAAGCCCATACTTGAACAATTATTGCCTATATTATAAGAATTTTATTAGATATGAAAATGAGAAAATTTTTCTATTGAAGCAAGTATATAACTTTGAGTTATTGTCATGGAACTCTGACTTTATAATATTAAGTGTAGTATGATTTCTTAACTTTTGAATACTTATTAGTACAGGATTTGGTGCTGATCACAATCTCTAGAGTGACTGTTAGCTGATGAAAATCTATACCAATTGCACACCATTTTTCCATTCTTAAAGAAAATATCTAAACAGAATAAATATTGCTGAGCATAATTTTTATCTTCTGATTTCACCTACAGGATAAAATTCCTCATACTCTTTGGACTCCTAATTGAAGAAGGAGTCATTTTACTGTTGTCATTGTGATGTTTTCCCAACAAATGTCCATTTGCCTACTTCATTGCCCAAAATATCTCACTGAGAATGTCTGAAAAAGAAAAGTTATCCTGGCCCAGTTCATAATAGAAAGTTGATATAACAGCAGCTAATTCAGAAATTGGCTTTTACACTTTGATTCCAAGAATATCAGAGGAATGCAATGGAAGACAGGGTTACAAAATCTTGTTTTTAGCATTTTGTCTATAATGAAGTCTTGTGACCAATATAAAGAAAGGAGCGTATCTAAGAATTTCACTGAGACAGCTACATTTCAAAATCCAAACAAAAACAAGCAATGCATATAAAACAGGCCAGGAATGAAAATAAATTGTCACATTAACACTGGAAGCCATCTTTTAGTGTCTGCTGTCATATTTTATCACAGTAATTTTTAGCCAAATATGGTATTTGTAAATTTAAACTTTCTTTCATAGAAAGGGGGCCGGTACCTGTTAAAAGTGTTATTTTATGCAATAATATAGTCGCTTATTATTTTGGCAACTAGAACTAGACTCAGAGGAGATTCCAATTTGGTTGCTGGCAGCCAGACTGGGTTTTTTGATTTCCACACTCTGGGAGCATGGTGGTGTCCTGGAGTATCGGGCCACTAAGGAAGAAAGGACTAACAGGGAATCAGTCATCTGTTTTAGAACAACCAAGAAAGGTCAATGGACAGCTGACATTGTTTTGTTGAGAAGTTAACTTTGTCACAGTTTACTACTCCCAGAGCAATACTGGTGTACAACCGAAGAAATAAATCAGAGGTCATTAAGCTACCTGATTAAAACAAGTCTACATTTAAAGGCAATTAATACCTACTAAGTACAAATTTGAAAAGAGCCAATCTGTATTACAAAATACGTTTTCATTTTCTGTAAGATAACAATGAAATGGTAACCATTAAAAGTCAATTTTATGTCACTGCAGTATCTTCTGATTTTTCTGAGTTGTAGAATCAGCTATTTCTCTTTGTGTCAAACTCTGTCATAGGATTATTTCAAGAAAACACATTGAATTTATCCCTGTTCTGTTATATTTGAGTTGAAAATGTAAATGCATTAGCTATTTCCATGTCCTCATATTTTTGCAAAGTTAAAAAAAAGGAGTATAACTATGGTATTATAATCAATTGGCTTTTTTCTTTTTTATACAATTCAAATCACTATTTTGCTCACCAAGTGAGCAGTCCCAGAAATCTGTGGTGTACTGATTAAATTAATATAGTTGAGATACTTTACATCAATTATGAGTATTGAATTAAAAGTTTTTATTTCCATAGTTAAAGCCTTTTCTCCACCACTTTACATTCCACTATAACAAGAAGCATATTTTCTAGTGATTCTATCCCTACCTTGAATTTTCAACATTAAAAGTAGCTGTGCATTTTCCTGGTACATACATAGAAATGGATTCTACGGTGCAAGGGTCTACTGTTGGTGCAATACTTGAATGAAAGCACACCTGAGTTTGAGTCATTGACATTTAAACAATAAAGTGTACTTCTTTTTGGAATATATTCAACAGCCTTGGAGAAGAAAAAAGTTCCAAGAGCCATATAAACTAAAATCATCTTGTAGTGTTTAAGTTCTTCCAAAGGCAGAGGACATTGTGTTCACTTCAGCAGCTATTTTTAGGTCATATTCCAGTGGGTCCTATCCAGAATGAGCTTGGCAGTAATACTGGAGGGTCTCATGGAGTTTCATGATGGTGATTCAATGAAAACAAGTTAAACTGCTCCGATGTGAGCCCCTTAGTTTCCCTGCCAAGTGACAAAGCATAGCACTAGACTATTCTTGAGCAGAACTGAGCCTGTGCTCGGTGGTCAGATATGTAAAGAAAATAATAAAAGAAAAGGGTTATTGGGGAGCTTGAAGGGGACAATTAACTAAAAAGAAACTGACGAGCTGTTTCCTTTCCTACCTCAGTTCCTCAGGCCCTGTGTCAGGGTTACTCCAAAGCTCTGCAGTCTTTGCTGTTCTGTAGATGATATACACAGGAGCCTACCACGCTGGATGCTCAGGGAGAAAATTCATTGCTCACATTTTTTTCCACTAAGAAGCAAGCAAAATTTGTTCATTTTCTTTGGTTTTCTTTCAGGCCAGTAAAGGTGGCCATTCATCTAAAATACCTCGGGCCGTCCAGGTATTCTTGGATCCAGAATTCCAGGTCTTGTGAAATCAAGCAAGTTCCCACTCAGGGTTTGGTGTCTGTCTTCGGCTCACTGGACTGGCCAGCATCTCAAGCCTGGGCTGTTCAAATTTGGCCTTTTTATTCTGTGGGTGTCTGGCTGCCGCCCAGGTCTGTTTATTCAAGAAAAAAATCCCCCAAGATAGAGAGAAAGCTCAGATTCTCCATTACCTAGCAATGAAACTATGGGTTCGAACAGCAAATGTGAGGTTCTCGCGTGATAATAGAGTTCTACTAATATTGTTGCCCAATACTCTTCTTTCTAGGAAAGCACCTGCTCCCCAGATCCTCGTTCTGCTTGAAATACCTGTAGTTTCTTTTCCTATTTTTGTATTTTTTTTAAACAATGCTCCTCCCTTTGAATTTCATCAATGGAAATTCTTCTTGCCAAAAATCATATTCATGGGCCGGGGATTTAGCTCAGTGGTGCCACCGCCTGCCTTGCAAGTGCAAGGTCCCAAGTTCAATCCCTGGTGCAAAAAAAAAATCACATTCATGCAAAGAGGAAAGAAAGATGAAAAGCAAGTGAGTTCAAGGTTTTAGAGACTGAAAAACCTTGCAGATTCTGAGAATCATGCATGTGACTAAAAGCAGAGCCACACAACCACACATTTATTGTTCTGATAAATAAACATATTTGCGCATAACCATTCCTGTGAGCCCAGAGACAGAGAAAGATAAATTGGGTCCTTTGTCATTCTTACTGTGCACAAATTCTGCCAAGCCAAACGTCATGACTGCACTGGAAGACGCTTGCTCCTGTGATGACAGCCAAATTTCAAGCAGCTGAGAAGTAAATTCTCTAATAGAATATCTTTAAAAAGCCAATCTTCCAGTTCAGTGTCCATAAAAATGCAGTACTGTGTTAGAGGAGTTATACTCAGTTTATCAGAATCATCCAGGAAGCTTTAGAAAAACACCCAGTCAGGGAAGCAACTGGACACAAGGATTTGATGAACACCTCACCCTGCAGAGACTGGCAGTCCTGCACCTCCAGTGGGCAGCCAGCGTGAGAGTTACTGGTCTTAAGGACTCAGGAGGGGAGCAACTGCCTTTCTGTTCATAGATGAGCAGGCTGATGTTTATAACTCCCAATGTCAAATTATTTTTAAAAGTCGAGCAATTTGTTTGCATTTGATTGCACTTTGGAGGTTATTAAACACAAACAAATCCTTTTACCTATTTTCTCTCCTCTCATGATATGATGGTTCCCCTTATTTTAGAAAATATGTGTCTAATAAGCTGTCCTACTATTGTCCCTCAATGTATTTATTTATTTTTTTTTGGTACTGGGGATCAAACTCAGGACCTTGCTCTTGGGAGGCAGGCGGTGGAACCACTGAGCTAAATCCCCGGCCCTTGTCTCTCAATTTTTTAAAAATGATTTAAACCATTTATATATTATTCTGGCATCAAATTTTTCATTTAAAGTCCTAAAATATGTAGGATCCAACAATAATGGTGTAAAACACCTTGAGTATAAACATTCAAAGACATTACAGCAAATGCCCTTGATATCTCAATAACATCTTAGGACAGATCTGTGTCCACTGCGAGCTTCACAATATAACAGAGGACCTCCTCCAACAAACAAAAAGAGTCAAGATGATATTGGCAAGAGAAAAGAAAAAATCATAAGTGAAAGATTTTAGGGGAGAAAGAATTCTGCCCTTGTCTTCAGTAAAGATTTATGGTTTGATTAGATCAGTGTCCCAAGAACCAGAAACAACTGCTTATTTTTAAGTTGCGCATGTTAAAAAAGATAAACATTGTGACTTTATCAAAACATATTTATTTTATGGCACCATGCACATTAAAAACATGCATTCCTTGTAACTTAGCCCTTAATGCAGAAGGAGCTGGACAATTTCAGTGTGGAGTCCAGTGCAGAGACCACAATGCAATTCTAGCTCTGCCACTTACTGTTTCTGGGCAAATCATTTCTCTTTTTTTTGGCCCTGGTTTCTCCATCTAAAAGCAGAAATATTCGTATTAATGATCTCATTAGTGCTGCCTCATAGAGTTATCAAATGTGAATGAGTTAATACATTTTGGTGATGGCTAGCACAATAGTCCACAATGTGCTAAGCATTTTATGTGTACAATATCGTTAATCCACAATAACTGTGGGTGTAAAATACTCCACGCACTGTGGCATATACCTCTGCTTTTTAAAATGAAGAAACGAAGGCCCACTGAGGTTACATGGCTCCCTCACACGTGTGCAGCCTGATTGCAGTTGCAAGTGAAAATTTAAGTCAGGGAGAAGGTTCATGGAGTTGGTTTCTCAATCAATGAGCCAAAATGAACCTCATGGAAACCCAAAAGTCGAAACAGAGTACTCAGTTTTCTTTCTTTTTTTTTTTTTGGTACCAGGGATCGAACATGGGACCTTGTGCTTTCAAGGCAGGTGGCGGAACCATGAGCTAAATCCCCAGCAGAACCCAGTTTTCTTATTCAAAGGCAGTCATAATATTAACATTACAAAATTGGTATTCCAAATAATTAAATGGGATTATTTGATAATATAAAATTCATTATAACTCGCCATTTTCTTGAAATACACTCACTGTTTCATTTTGACTACTTGAAACTTTGATATATAATCACTTAAATTTTTATTTTCACATTCCTTTGGTCAAGGAACTAAAGTAAAAATTTCCAAAAACACAGACTATTTAATGTTATGTTCATATTCTTCCACCCTCACCTCATAGGCCTAAGCCCATGCCGTAGTTAGAGTGTGAAAATTAATAATGGTTTTGTATCCAGAATTAATACATATTTTTATTACAAATATTAGAAAAGCACGAAAGGGAAAGGAAAATCACTTATATATCCAAGAAAAAGACACTGTCAAATTTTTTATAATATTATATTTGTCATTATGTATTTTAATAAAAATTAAATCATCACAAGTTTTTAAATGCTTGCTAAATTCATTAAGCAATGCTACAAAATATAGGATGTAAACTATTAGGAAAAGTGCACATGATGCTCCCAAGTGCCCTGTGCTTATGGCTGGGATCTAGTGTAGCTCATTGAGAGAGTAGAAAGACATGAGCAACACACAGACTAGGCTGAAATCTCAGACTCTCCCCTAGGAGGCACAGCCCGAGGACTCCCAGCCACTTCCAGGGTCCTTAAGTCTAGGGCTCTGCCAGGGGACACAGAGCTGGGGTTCAGAGCTGGGCATTGGCTCCAGAGTGCAAGGGCTGGGCCTGTGCTACTCTAGCTTCGGATTATATCCAGAGAGCCAGGCGGCTCCTACTGGAGCGAAAGAAAGAATAAGTTCTATCTCGTATCCTTTCTACTGAAAAGAACAGTTCTAAGTTCAAAAGGAAATGATGATAATCAACTGTACAATTAGATGCGAAAGGTAAATATTAACTAGAAAGCTGGAGTAGCAATGCACCAACGCTTAGTTGTCACCAAAAGAGAGGAAAGCTACTGAAATGTGAAACATTCTTTGCGAACTGGCTCCATTTAAAGAGTTCTGGAAGAGGGCACAAGCATCAGCATTTTGAAAGTTGGTGGGTGTTGTGATTTAGATCTAAAGTCGTGTGCTTAGAGGTGGAGCCTGGTTGGAAGAGGGAGTCCCTGGGCCTGTGACCTAGAAAGGTGCACTCCTGTCCCCTCTCTGCTCCTGCCTGCCCTATGGAAAGTGACTCTCCTCCACTATGCCTTCCCTTCCCTACTGTCTGTACTACATCTCGAGCTTCCTCTTCTTACGA